AGACCTCTTCTCTACAATAAATCAAAAATTAGCCGGGCGTGGTAGTGTGCGCCTGTAATTCCGGCTACTCGGAAGGCTGAGGCAGAAGGATCGCCAGAGTCCAGCAGGTCGAGGCTGCGGTGGCCAGGAGCGGCCACTGCACTCCATTCTGGGCGACAGAGTGAGACTCCAACTCAAGGAAAAAAAAAAGAAAGTGGACTGGGTAAATGTGGTACATATACACAATGGAATATTACGCAGCCATAAAGGACAGAATTATGGACCGTGCAGCAACAAGGATAGATTTAGAGGCTATCACACTCAGTGATCTATCACAGAAACAAAGAACTGAGTACCACATGTTCTCACTCATAAGTGGATTCTGGACATTTCTCATAATACTACAAGAAAGGGATTGGCAGTAGCAGGAAACTGTGAGGGGGTGGGGAGAGTGCATAATATCAATAAGGGTACCTGATCCCAAACCAGGAGAAAGATCAGTGGGAAGTCCAAACTTCACCTATACGATGACCATTTATGTACCTAATCCTGAATTATACCTCACATCTTTAAAGGAAAAAAGAAAAGGAGAATCCTAAGAGTGAGAACAATTACCAATAAAGTTATGGTCATAGTATTCACTCCTCGGCTTTTAAATTGAGGAGTCATTTGTATTGCTTAAATAAAAATCAGCAAGAAGAACCAAAGTATTATAAATATTATAATTTTTTTTAAAAGTCATTTTGATTGTCTTTTAAAGTAGTTCTACTGGAATTTTTAAGACAGTAGACTCTTTTCAGAAATCAATCCCAAACAACAAGAACAAGAAAGTAATCACACATAATCAATCTTCGGTAAAACAAGGAGACACATGGAACCCCACACCTAAGATGAAGACAGAGCAGGAATAAAGCAATGGTCTGTGACTTAGTATAGTGGGGTAAGGGCAAATCTAAGTGCCTGCAAAGGGGAATAACAGAGAAGAAGTTGATTACATCTATAGAACGAGTTGCAAAAATTAGATGCAAAAAGAAAAAGAAAACAGAGGAATTAGAGTCTACAGAAGGTAGAGGGCTAAAAACAGGGAGATTATTTGAAAGTCTAAATAAGGGAGAGACCAAAAGGTTCCCATTTCCACAATAAGCCAAAAAACCAACCCTAGGGGAGGTGTACTCTCCAAGACAAAAAAAAAGTAAAGGATTAGATACATAAAATGTTGAAGTAAAAACTCGATTTTTGTGAAAGTTTACATGTTGAGGTAAGATCTCCATCCATCTCCTTTCTTTTACTCAGCTCCGGAATGTTTTTTCCAGGCAAAAGATTGGAGAATCTTTCTTAGCACCAGTTGATTCACCCCAGAAAAAAAATCTACAGACACTATCATTTGGAAGTTCTTGGTCAATTGTCAGCTAACCACTTGACTGCCATGCATAGACGCCTACATGAACTTCTGATCAGCTTTTCAAAGTTCTACCCTTGAATATGAATAATCAATGAATAATACTAGACATATAAAGGCTTCTAAAATAGAATACATTAAATCACAATAAAGAAAATAGGAACTCAAAAAAGAGATAAGGCCTAGAACGAGGGAATTATATTCATTCCAAAGAATTATAGTTAAAACTCTCAGAGGGAAAAGAGAAGATATTGTACTCAAAATAGTTGCTATAATAAGAGAAAGTAACAGAAAGAGTACTGGGGAGGCTGAGCACAGTGACTCAAGCCCGTAATCCCAGCACTTTGGAAGGCCAAGGTGAGATGTCTGACTGAACCCAGGGGATTGAGACCAGCCTGGGCAACTTGGTGAGACCTTGTCTCTACAATAAATCAAAACATTTAGCTGGGCATGATGGTGTGCGCCTGTAGTTCCAGCTACTTGGAAGGCTAAGGTGGAAGGATCACCTGAGTCCAGCATATTGAGGATTTGGTGGCCATGAGGGTGCCACTGCACTCCAGCTTGGGCAATAGAGTGAGACTCCAACTCAAAAAAAAGAAAAAAGAGTTTTGAGGAACCACAAATATGATACTTTTTTTTGCTGGGATTACAGGCTGAGCCACCAAGCCCGGCCAATATGATACCTTAAAAAAAACTCAAGCTGGGCTCGGTGGCTCAGGCTGTAATCCCACGCCTTGAGAGGCTGAGGTAAGGTAAGTGGATTGCCTGAGCCATGGGTTCGAGACCCGCCTGGGCAACTTAGTGAGACCTCATCTCTACAATAAATCAAAAATTAGCCAGGTGTGGTAGTGCGCGCCTGTAGTTCCAGCTACTTGCAAGGCTGAGGCGGAAGGATCGCCAGATCCCAGCAGGTCAAGGCTGCAGTGGCCGGGAGCGGTCACTGCAATCCAATGCAGTCTAGGTGACAGAGTGAGACTCCAACTCAAAAACAAAACAAAACAAAAAAAACAACTTAGTAAAAAATAAGATAAAAAATTTCCTAGAATTGAAAGGCTGGGCAGGTGTGATGGCTCATGCCTAATCCAGCCTGGGTAATAGAGTCCAAATTAAAAAAAAAAAAAAAAAAAAGGCTGTAGCTTTAAGATTAAAAGAGTAAAAAATAGGCCAGGCGCAGTGCCTCGTGCCTGTAATCCCAGCACTTTGGGAGGCAGCAGTGAGAGGATTCCCTGAGCCCAGGGGTTCAAGACCAGCCTGCACAACTTAAAGAGACCTCATCTCTACAACAGATAGTAAAAAAAAAAAAAAAATTGGCTGGGTGGCTCATGCCTGTAATCCCAGCACTTTGGGAGGCTGAGGTAAGAGGACTGCCTGAGCCCACAGGTTTGGGATCAGCCTGGGAAACTTGGTGAGACCTCATCTCTACAATAAATAAGTAAAAAAAAATTAGCTGAGCGTGGTTGTGCATGCCTGTAGTTCCAGTTACTTGTAAGGCTGAGGCGGAAGGATCAACTGAGCCCAGCAGCTAGAGGCTGTGGTGGCCGTGAGCATGCCACTGCACTCCAGCCTCGGCAATGGAGTGAGACTCCGACTCAAAAAGATAAATAGATAAACAGAGTAAAAAATAAGTAAGAGTCACGGGGTCCATGCTTCACACCTATAATCCTAGCACTTTAGGAGGCCAAGACAAGAAGAATTGCCTGTGCCCAGGGTTCGAGACTAGCCCGAGCAACTTGGCAAGACCTCATCTCTACAACAAATCAAAAAATTAGCTGGGCATGATGGCACATGCCTGTAGTTCCAACTATTGGAAGGCTGAGGAGGAAGGACTGCCTGAGCCAGCAGGCTGCGGTGGCTGAGTGTGCCACTGCACTCCAACCCTGGCAACAGTAAGAGACTCCAACCCAATAAATAAAAAAATAAATACATGTCAAAGCAAGACATGTCATTATAAAAATTTAGAACATCAGAAACAAAGAGAAAATCTTAAATATTTTCAGAGAAAAACAGGCCATGTGTAAAGGATTAGGAGTTAGAATGTCAAGGGACTTCTCAACAGAAACTAAAATATAGATGAACTTCAAGTCAGTGACAAGTTAAAAAAAAAAAGAAAAAAATATATATGCTCCATTTATATATATAAATGGAGCAAAATTCTAAATGGAAATGCTGTTCAATTTCCAAAACATACCCAAACAATCAAACTATAAAGATACCACTAAATGTAGTGGCTCACACCTGTAATCCTAGCACTTTGGAAGGCAAAGGCGAGAGGACTGCCTGATCCCAGGAGTTCAAGACCAGCTGGGCAACTTGGTGAGACCTTGCTTCTACCCTAAATCAAAAAATTAGCTGGGCATGGTGGCGCGTGCTGTAGTTTCAGCTACTTGAAAGGCTGAGGTGGAAAGATTGCTTGAGCCCACCAGGTTGAGGCTGCAAGTGGCCATAATTGTTCTACTGCACTCAACCCTGGGCAACAGAGTGAGACTCCAGTTCTAAATAAATAAATAAATACTTTTTAAAAAAAGTACAGTAAAGGAAGTCTGAAATATGTAATTAAAAAAATTTGCTTCCAGCCAGGCTCGGTGGCTCAGCTTGTAATCCTGCACCTTTGGGAGGCTGAGGTGAGTGGATTGCCTGAGCCCGCAGGTTCGAGACCCACCTGGGCAGCGAGACCTCATCTCTACAATAAATCAAAAAAATCAGCTGGGTGTGGTAGTGCATGTCTGTAATTCCAGCTACTTGGAAGGCTGAGGAGGAAGGATCGCCGGAGCCCAGCAGGTTGAGGTTGCGGAGGCCGGGAGTGGCCACTGCACTTCAGTCTGGGCAATAGAGTGAGACTCCAACTCAAAAAAAAAAAAAAAAAAATACATGGGATCCAGAAAATAAAAGATCCAACACTGAAGGAGTGAAAGCATTCCAAGGACTGTGATGATGGGAGAGTCCAGTAACAGCAGTTACATCTAGAGAGCTACCAGTCCAGATGGGAACAGGAGCACAGAAGATTCCTAAAGGAATGCCTCTGGGAAATAAACGGAACTGAGAGATTATTTTATAAGTCTGATCTCATTAGATAGACTGAAGAGTGTTTTCCCGAGTTGTTGGAAGGTATGGGAGGACAATAGTAGACTCAAAGAAAGCAGAGCAAAATGGGAGGATGTGAAGAAGGAAGGGAGGAGTAAATGAGATTAAAATCCTCATCTATCATAAAAGAAAGTTAATACATTATTCTAAAACTGCTGAATTAAGAGATAGAAGTAATTGCTTATTACTCATAAGGATACCAGGAACAGCTAAAAGAGTTACCACAGAGAAATGAAAGCGTTCTCTTTTCTGTCCTCACCAAACAGCAATAAAACAAGAATAACAGTAACAAAACATACCTCAGATTCTAATAGAAACTATAATTGTGTTAGGAGTACATTTTTTTTCAATAAGAGACAGGGTCTTACTATGTTGCCCAGACTGGCCTTTAACTCCTGAGCTCCAGTGATCTTCCTGCCTCAGCCATGCACCACCAAACACAACTTGAAATACATTTTTCTGACTAAGAATTTTAGGCCAAAACATTTTAGCAATCAAAAATAGTGGGGGGAGGGGGAATAAAAAGGGGGATGAGAATCACCTTTTTAAGCACCTTCATGGCAAATATTTTCCCAGTATTTGCTCCTGTTACTTTTCGTACTTGAAAAACCTGGATAAAAAAATAAAGTGTTTGCTTATTATTAAAAGCCAAACTATATCAATCATACTTTCTTAATTTCTATTTATAGGAAACAAATGATACAGATTATGTTCTTATAAAAACTAGTGCCACAAAAGAACCATGTGCATAAATGATCAGCTAAAAAAACAGACACATTAAAGATCATGACTTTCCTGTCTGTTCTGCTGTCATCTGGCAGCATCATCCACCAATGACTGTCTAGTGAGCACTCAGTGTTACTTGATACATAAAATTCTAGTTTACTTAGAACAAGTTACAATCAGCGTTTCCAGAAGCATAATATCAAACTTAAAAATTATTAAATATTTCATAAATTTTTTTCCAGGGGTGCCACTGTTCTTGCTTCAGATAAAACTATTTAATAATAGTTGACAGGACATTACTGTTTACTTGTTCCTTAAAATGGCTAGTTATTACAGTCAACCCTCCAAATTCCCAGGATTCAACCAACCACGGATACAACCATCCACGGACTGGAAATATCTGAGCAAAGAACCAATAAAGACAATACAACAATAAAAAATAATACAAACATAAAAAATATAGTATAACAACTATTTACATAGCATTTATATTGTACTAGGTGCTATAAGTTATCTAGAGATTATTTTAAATATACAGGGGGATGTGCTTAGGTTATATGCAAATACTATACCATTTTATATAAGGCACTTGAGAATATGCAGATTTTGGTACCTGCAAGGGTCCTGCAGCCAATCCCCTTTCACCTCCCCCCGTCCTTTCCTCTCCTGGGATATTGAGGGACAACTGTAAACATTTTCAAAAAACAGCTAAAATATGTGAGACTCAAAGTGCATGCATATACATTCAGGATGATTAGAACATATCAGAATGCGTCCCTAAAGGTAAGAATAGACTGCAAATGTCTGCTTGGCAAAAACCAATACTACACAATAGCATAGTTTTTAAACTTAATCCTAACCAAGTTGTTATCTAAATTCTGTCTTTTGATAGAGAATGTCTTGATAAAAGTTTTCATGAGCAGAACTCATAAAGATGAGGTCTTTAGTTAGAAAGTCTGGGGCAAAACTATGAAACAAAAGTTTTCTTTAGCTTTTGTCTCTCTTTTTATATTCCTTCAGCTTACCTAACTCCATTGCTCCAGATAAAATTCAGATTAAGGTCTCAGAAGCAGATAACAACTTAAAGTGCCATGCCTCTTGAAAGTAAGAAATGGTTTGTTTATTTTCAAAGAGGATACCATTTAACCAAAGGAAAAGAGTGAATCCTCCAATAACAGCCTGGCACAGCTGCCTATTTATTCATTCAACAAATATTGACTAAATACCTATTATGTGCCAAGATTTTACATGTGTGGTGGTAAGAAGATGGGAAACTGAACTTCTGTACATTCCTTAAATCATATCAGGTAAATGTCATGGACATATCCTTTGCTGAGACTAACAAAGACTGAAAATCACTACTGGAACCAGGGTATAAAAATCAATCTACCCAAGATAGACAATAGCTCTCATTTCAAAAATACTGCCTACCTTTCCATAGCCCCCTTTACCAAGTACCCGAAGTAGCTCAAAACATTCTGGTCTGATTTTTTCTGGCCCTCTGTTCACACTAGTTTCTGAGATTTCAAATTTCTCACAATGTTCCATGCCACTGGGAAGAAAAGCAAAACCAAAAGTAAATTTGCAAAAAGTTATATCACCTTCAGCATATAGTTAAGAAAGAGGAGAAAAAGAAATGTAATTCAATTAAGTAAAAGAAAAAAGTACACGACAGCAAATTTAGTATTTATGCTCTAAGTAAAGTGATGATTCAGTGACAGCAGGTCAAGATCAGGGTGTCCAATAGTTGTTGATCTGCTTATTCACGGAATGGGCTATAGATTACTTATTTTCATACACATCAAGTACCCCCAAACTATGGTAAATGAGGACAAGCTTAAGTTGACAAAAGAAAAAAGTCATCCAGTTATTCAATTTCAGTTCATTCAAAATGTCTATAAGATTCAGTATCATCCAATCTCATTTGGCAACTTCAGCAGAAAATCTGGGATCTTTCTAAAACTACCCAACTAGTTTAAGACTTTACGCCAAAAAATTTATTGCTACAAAACTTATACCTGCATCTTTCTATGCCTAGCTTTTCAAGTTATGAGCTTGATTTAAATAATCCAAAAGGGGTGGTAATTTAAATGCTTTCTATAGAAGTGATATTCATAGGAGGAAACCAAGAAGGTTTTTTACTTAAGAGCTGGGTATAAAGCAGATAAATTACCATAATCACCAATGGAGCTTCTCTAAAACTGCTTAAGATGAATTTCTACTTGAATGATGTATTAAACCAAAACAAAAAATAATTTGACTTTTAGGGGCATTTCTACACTTTTTTTTTTTTTTAGTGAAGTCTCACTCCGTTGTCCAGGCTGGAGTGCAGTGGCACGCTCACAGCCACTGCAGCCTCGACCTGCTGGGCTCAGGCAATCCTTCTACCTCAGCCTTCCAAGTAGCTTGAACTACAGGTGTGTGCCACCACGCCCAGCTGATTTTTTTAATTTTTATTGTAGAGATGATGTCTCGCCAAGTTGCCCAGGCTGGTCTCGAACCCATGGACTAAGGAAATCCTCTCACCTCTGCCTCCCAAAGTGCTGGGATTACAGACATGAGCCACCATGCCTGGCCTTTTTTTTTTTGTTTAAGAGGCAGAGTCTCACTCTGTTGTCTTGGCTGGAGCGCAGTGGCATGATCACTGCTCACTTCAGCCTCAAACTCTTGGGCTCAAGTGATTCTCCTACCTCAGTCTCCCGAGTAGCTGTGATTACAGGCATGCACCACAATGTTCAGTTAATTTTGTTTTTATTCTTTTGCAGAGACTGGGTCTCACTATTTTGCCTGGGTTGGTCTCAAATTCCTGGACTCAAGTGATCATATTGCCTTTACCTCCCAAAGCACTGGGATGACAAGTATGAGCCGGCCAGGTATGGTGGCTCAAGCCTGTAATACCAGTACTTTGGGAGGCAGACGCGAGAGGACTGCCTGAGTCCAGGGACTTGAAACAAGCCTGGGCAACTTGGTGAGACCTCGTCTCTACAATAAATCAAAAAATTAGTCAGGCATAGTGGTACATGCCTGTAGTTCCAGGTACTTGGAAGGCTGAGGTGGAAGGATCACCTGAACCCAGCAGGTTGAGGCTGCAGTGGCT